TCATAGATTAAAATCCAAGGTGGTAACTACAACACCTCAACATTCAAAATTGATGAAAGGTGCTGATAGGTGCTGAGATGTTGAAGGGCGCCGACAGATGCTGAAAAGTGTCGAGGGTGCCCTTTCTGCGGTTTCCCCCTTGAAAGAACATCACTAACATTTCATGAATGTAGTTGAAGATTGATATTAAGGTGAACTATTCAGTTCAAATTGATGTTCGATACAGTCATATCAATTTCTAATTATATTCATTTCTAGCTGAATCAGATAGATATGGAAAAGAAAAAAATTATAACGGATGTCCCAGAATAAATTAGACTGTTTGTATTTTGAATATTTTCCCTCTATTCTTCATATGATTCAAACACTTTCTTTTATCAAAAGATAGCACTTGAAATTCTCTACAAAACCATAAATGATTGAACCCAAAAACTATTTTAGATATATGTGAAAAAAGATGAAAAATAAAGACATACAAAAGCCTGGAAAAATTAACCGGCTGGGCACAACGAATGGCAGCGCTTTGCGTCCCATTTTTTATCATTTCGCCCTATTAGAAAAACAAATATACCAAAAGATGCAGCGTGAAAAGCTCTACAATTTACAAGGAACAATTATGAAAACATGAAATAAGAAAAAAAAGAATTCAGTTTGTACCAAAAAATATGCCATTTTCGCACGAACGAAATTTGGTCACTTAAAATTTTGTCCGTTTTGAAAACAAAATGTGCAGCTATAAAATAAGCCATCTTATCTAAATTGTAGAGCTTTTCACGCTGCATCTTTTGGTATATTTTTGTTTTTTTTTAATTGGGCGAAGGAAGTGATGGAAAAACGTGATGCAAAGTACGGTCATCCATTATGCCCAATCGGTTAATTTTTAGTTTTTTGTATGTCTTTACTTTTCATCTTTTTATCGTTTTTCAAATATATCTAAAATAGTTTTTGGGTTCAATCGTTTATGGTTTTGTAGAGAATTTCAAGTGCTATCTTTTGATAAAAAAAGTGTTTGAATCGTATGAAGAATAGAGGGAAAATATTCAAAATACAAACAGTCTAATTTATTCTGGGACATCCGTTATTTTAAGTTATGTTTGACATATTGTTCAATGAAATGATTTTCGAAAATATTCGTTAGATTTGGAGAAGTTATTATTTGGCAGATGAGGCAAACAACAAGCTTCGCCATAAGTGCATCAAACTATTTTATTATGTTTTGTTTACGAGTCATAACGATGATTCGCAAAACAACGAAAGTGGACAATGATTTTATTCAGTATTAAATAGCATAGGATTAGACAAAAGCGAAAACTACAAAAATACCATATTTCGTTATATAATTTATCTATCAACACTGAATGAAATTTATGTCGAAGAAAAAGATAAAACATAAGTAATAATCTAAAATGTATTGTTGAACAATGAGTAAGAAAATGTATGTTAGTTTTTTTTCTATATATTCTTTTTTATATACTTACAGAAAAAATTCAATTAAAATTAGTTGTATGAATTGATAAATGATGTTATTTATTCAATTGCTTATAAATTCAACCGACAGGTGGATGCATCATTTTTTAAAGATTTTCTCGATATCGATTATTTACGAATAGTATTAATATGTACTGAAAATCATAGGAGACGGAGTCAGGACAATGATAGACTGAAGTCTATCCTAAATTTAAGGATCATAAGCTTAAATATTTGTTTCTCTTTTCAACAAAAATTGATAAATTTATGCAATGTATCAAAATTCTTATACAAACATCAAAAATTATTTCACTACTTTCGATCCCTAATATTAATATTTTCATAGTCAGGTAGACTTCAAAAGCGTTCTTGAAGAAACATTGACTTTTGTATGAATCAATGTTAAGTCCTACATTGTCACTAACTTGAAGAAGTCCACGTTTACTAAAAATGAAGAAGAACAATACGAGAAAAGTAAGTGAGATGAATTAAAAGATGTCGAGAATTTTCTTCGACTTCAATGGTTAAATTTACATCCTGAGATAAATTTTCAACAGAGTAAGCAAAACTACAATGTAATGTTTTTTCGAATATTGCTATCTCATCATGATTTTGTTTCTCAAAAAAAAGTGGATCGAAAACTCTTCTCTCAAGAATCGAAATACAATAAAAAGAATGTTGGCGTGTTTCATTAGGTGTACATATTTTGATACTAGTTGTAATTTTTTTTCTAAATCGTACTGATCACTTTATACAATGCAAAATGTAAGTTAAAAATAAGAAGCACTTGCTGTGTTCCATTGAAATGGCATGACAAAGTTTATCCTTCTTCTTCTTATTCTAGACATCCCGATAGTGATGTTATAAAGAAAATTCGAATTTATTACATATCCATGTCGTAAAAGATTGAACATTTCTGTTTTCTATGTTGTTTCTCTTATAAAGTGAATTTCTTCTACGAAATTTTAGAATCAATAAAAAGAATGATCATCATGCACAATCTTTTTTCTTTCGATTTATATAATATGAAAAGTCTTCTAAAATACAGACTATTCCATATTCGAAAAATTTATTTCTGTTTAATCATTACTTGTTTTTATAACTCAACATGTATAGTTGTCAAAAAATTACTCTTTGCTTATTTTTGATTCAGCTCGTTGATTTTTTTTTCATTTAATTATATTCTTTTTCTTTGTCGAGCGTTGCTTTCTCTTCATTGTTCGTACTAAACAATAAATTTTGTGTTTCATATAATTTATAAAGTAACATCAATTAATCTAATCATGTTCAATAAACCATTTAAAACTAAGAGAGATATTGACTGATGCGTTATTACAACTGCTCACAGTTCAACAGATACAATCTTTAATACTGATGTTTAGAGAAAAAAAATATGCTTTTTATTGCAAGGGTCGCAACGGAATCACTACAAGTCACGATTATTGTTCTAGTTTCTGAATTTTTTCTACGTACATTCTGTAACCAGATTAATTATGAAAAAGCTAATGAAAAAAAAAAGCAAAAGCGTGCTTTATTTTGAGAAACCGACATTGAATCATTCCAGCATAATATTGAATGTTGCACAAGAGAAATCAAAATAGACTGCAACAAAGCTTCTGTTTGATTTATTTTGGCTTCCAATTTTCTTCTTCGTTTTCAAGTAACCAATATAAAATCATAAGTATGCAGTGACGCCTACTCATCTTACCGAAAGACATGACAAGCGCCGAAAAAAAAAGATTAAAATATATGAAACCATTTTCTTTATTTAAGTATAATTCTGCATCAACACAATCGTTCGCCAGATTTTCTTCTTTACATACAAATAAACAAGAAATCCAATTCAATATTTAATAAGAAATCCATTGATAAAATCGAATATCAACTATTTAGTAAATCAGAATATGTAAGTTAAAATGACTTTTGAATAATATAAGTTTTTTTTTTTTCTTGTTTCTACAATACAAATTTTAAATCATCAATAATAAATATTGTTCCATATTAATTACAAATTAAGTTCATTAATTCTTTCATGTAGGTCTGTCACACCTAATCGTGTCACTACTCATCAACCACAACTATATTACAGACAAATCAATAATACATTCAATTTAGTAGCAAACGAAAAAGTCTATCGTGAATGGGATTATACAGACAATTTATGCTGTTGTAATAGTTCATATAATACTGTTTTAACTGATATTCGTCTATTGACTCGTTATAAAGAATATGTTGGTTGTGCTGATGATTCAGAATCTTCACATACTGATTCGGCTATTTTCTTACGTGATATTGATCAAATTCGTGAATGTCGTGGTGAACAACCAACTTTTTTCTTTCTTCTTTGGATGACATTATTATGTGCATGGCCATGTTATCTTTGTCGTCGAATTTTTTGTCCAAAACCAAAATGTCTCGAAGTTTATGGTAGATTTGGTTCGGAATTAGTTCGACTGAAGCGAGAAGATATGTCAGCAGCTCAAGTCGATATATCAACGGCGATTATCAATAGCAAACTCGCTGGACGACAATAAATAAATATTTTGAACTATGTAGAATTTTTTTTTTCATTTATTATGTAAAAATAATGTAATTACTTTATGATTATGTAAAACAATAAAAATATCATAATTCCTAAAGACCATTGAAGAAGTATATTTTTAGACTAACCATTCATCAATGAAAATATTTTCATTGATCGAATAGATAAATTTCAATAATAATCTCAACCAAATGCATAACCAAAGAAAAATAATTAGGTGAAAAAGTACGAAATAGTTTTCTTTTATTTAAAAAAAATAAATTCTATTTTTCGTTCACATTCAGAAAACATTGTACATAACTATTTTTTTTACTAGACAAAGTATTCATTTTCACTTATTCATACTGTAATATATAGAACAATGACTTCTTCTATATTGATATCAAAAAATGATTTTCGAAAATATTTTTATGAACAAACGAGGTAGCATTTCAAGTTTTTGAAGTAAAAACAAAAACTCCAAGAAAAAGCAGTTATTATTCTACTTATGAAAATACATAAGCAGAAAAATTCTTCATTTTGTTGGTTGGAAAACAGCTCAAGAAAACTTAATACCAATATATATATTTATACTTGGTATATGATCTGTGAGTCATGTAAAATTCGAAGACAAAAAGAAACATTAAGAAAAAAAGAATAGTTAAAAAGCGTAAGCTTTTACAATCCTTTCTTTTTTTTCTTGTCGGAGCTTTGTAAGACAAACTAGATTTCAATTGAGAATATTTGCGAACTCTAAAACTTCCTAGATTCAGTTAGGTTTCAGTTAAAGTTGAACATAACTTAACATAAATATATAAGACCAGTCCTTTATTGCCATCTTTTTCTATTTTTTTAATTCGGCCAGGAAAAAGGATGGCATACCATCATAGAATACAAAAGTTAAAATAGATGCATATATATATATATATGTATATGTGAAGAACTTTGAAGTATGTTAATTGTCAAACTTAATTAATATTTTTAAACAGAAATTGGTATGTGTATATTGTATTTAAATGACAGAATCTGAATAACTTCGGTGTCGTTGAAATAGACGTCTACGTCGATGCTTTTGAGTTTGATTTAATGACAATTCAGTAATTTGTTCCTGATGTTTTTTAACTTTATCAAATTCATCTAAAATTTGTTGACAAACTTCAACAGCATAACCTGAAACAACTGATGCAAACTTAATAATTCTTGAAACTTCATTATTATCATCATGTGATTCTTGTTGATCGATATCAGATGATGAAAATGTAGACCGTACAGAAAGTTTATTGATTTTAATGTGCTCATCATTTGCTCCATTCTTTTTGTTATTGTTCTTCTTCTGCATACTAGCATACATACCACGACCTAGCCAAGTAACTAAGGTGAGTGAACCTACAAGAGGTTTTACAAAACCATTAGCAGTAGCTACTAATGCTCCAGTTTCACCGCCTAATATTCCATGGCGACGGTAACCTACACGTGGTTTTCCGGTTATACCATCTTTCCAACCGTGCTTAATCGAAAGACCTGCAGCTTTAACACCAGATTTGAAATCAGTCACACATGGTCGTTCATGTACATCCAATTTACTTAATTTACAATTTAGTTATAGAAATTAAAAACTTTTTTTAAATGAGAAATATGATATTACCTGTATGGATCATATAATGATGGAACACGACTAAGAATATCCGTCATTTCGCCATACAACGATATGAATCCGACGGATAGATGACCAATAACTTTACAAATATGTTTGACTGCATCGGTGACGCCACCAACTACTCCTGTTAATACATAGGCACTACTGACGGCTCGTCTCATGCCGCTAGTAGTATGAATAAAAATATGAGAAAAAGCTTTGTGTGTGTGTTTCAAAACGCCACTAGTCGGCAAATGAATGCGATGATCATATATAGATGTTCATCGTTGAGTAGGATGAAGACGAAATTGTGATTCATCTAAAGCACCTACTGCGACAAGTACTTGAGCTACTGGCCGTGACACTTGTAAATCAAGTTCATCAACACGATAACATGCAGTAAATGTTGATTCGAGATCGCTACGCATACGTGAAAGAGGTAAATGAGCATGAAACATGCGTAATGCTGTTGCACATCCATCTTCATGAGATAAAATTTCACGGATACGTTTAGCTGTATTTTGCATTGCTAGTTGATGAACTATCTTAAACGCTTCAACTAATTCATCGACTGTTACACTTTTTCCGGGTATTGGTGAAGGACCAACACCATTCTTTTCAACAATATCGCCCCAAAAAAATTGATCACCAAAAAAAGGTAAAATGATAGACGGTTTACCAGCACGAAGACCTGTTGCAGTGGTACCTGCTCCACCATGATGACATACAGCCGATACTAGAGATGCACAATGACAGACTTAAGCAACAGTTTTCAGTTTCACAATAAACTACATTTTGGTGTAAAGAAGATCAAGAAATATTGTTCCTAAAATGACTTATCTAATGAAGTCAACAAAATATGTTTGCAACTTCAACATTTTTGCAAAAATAGATTTATTAATATTACTCAGAATCTTTTAATATATGCAATCTGAATAATTAACATCTTGATTAAAGTTTTACTTATCGTGTTCAAATAGCCAATCATGTGGAACATCACCAATTTTAAAAATATTATCAGGTAGTTCATCATTATATTGATCAAAACCAGAAAGTAAAGCACGATGGCCTGTCGTTGCTAAAGCATCCAATATAACTTGAACAAGACGATCTGAATCATTTCCTGTTATAGAACCAAAACCTATATATATTGGTAGTAATAATTTTTCTTTATCTTGATTATCACTGTTAAGACCAATAAAAGCAAATAAGTCATCTGATGGCTTGTAATCTTCATTATCAGTATTAAGAAAAAAATAACCTGAAACATCAATATACGGTGGCCAGTCATACGGTCTAGGAAACTAATGATGGTGACCAACAATAAGTATTTGGTAAACGCTCGTCATACATCATACGTACAGCCTGACGTGTATGTATTGATGGAAGACCCAAGGTTTTTCGACGAAAATCATTTACAAGATCACGCATACCATACCATGTCTATAATTGCCAAATATTTGAATGAGATTATTATCGGATGATATTCAGAAAAAAAATTATCTGTTGAAAAACTTGATATGAACTCATCATACAGTACATATATAGAGTTAGCAAATGTCTATGATTTACTAAGAAGACTTACAAGAATATCCATAGCACTGTATGAAAGAAGATTAAATTTTTCTTTTGGTAATTTTGAATAGTCGATTCTACAAAATGGATGTGGAAAGACAGTTGTAGTTGACCAAGGCATTGTAAACATTATATGTAACGGAATTTGTAATTTTTGTGTACAATGTACATGACCAAATGATGGTGGATTAGCAATAATAACTTCTGCTGTAAATGGAGCTGATGTTTCATCATCATTTTCTGTACATGCATGCCATGTAGATACAAGAATATTGGAAATATTACGACGGTGTTTTCTCAGGTCACCTTCTATAATACTACTCATTGATGGAACAACATCACCATTTTTAACCATAAATGACATTAAATCATCTGGATTAGCAGCCAATGGAAAAAATTCTAAGTCATGTTCACGAACATATTTTCGAAATTTCTCATGTGTAGCTAAACGAACATGATGACCAGCTGCATGAAGTGCTTGACTAAAACTAGAAAATAAAAATCCATCACTTTAGATCGATGGAAGATACTTACACTTGAACAAAGATCAAAATTGAAAATACAGACTTACGCAATAAATGGTTGTACATCGCCTCTTAAACCAACAATAAGCATAACAATAGTTAGATGAGTCACATGGAAATCTTCGGTATTAGTTTTACTGTAAATTATTTGTTTGATTATTTCGTCGTGATCTTCATTCATACCCAAATTAGGTGGAACCTGTTGTGTTGATTTGCTCGGAGATTTTAATGTTGGATTAAAACTAATATCAAATCGACCATCAGCATCATTAAAACGAACCAAATAATCAAGAACACGATTTTTTCTCAAGAATAACGTCTTAAAGCTTTTTTCCGTATCAACATCAATATTTTCTTGTTCGATTGCATAAACGATTTCATATGATAAGAGTAGATAAACATTTAGACATAAAGAAGTATTTGTACAATGCACTACTAACATATTTTTGCAGTTATCATTTTCTAAATCATCTTTATATACAAGATGTTCAGTCAAATCAATCGATATTTTTGGTGATTGAAACGAGTCTGAAAAGATTTGTCTTGCATTTAACCACACTGTAAGAGTATTTGTTGATGAATAATTATTTACATTTTCACTGATACTATGATCATTTAGTGACTCAAATATAAGAAAAACTTGTTTAGTTGAGTCATGTCGGCAAGCTTTCCATTCAAATTCTTTGTGATACTACCAATTTTGTTGATTGTTATTAGTAATATGTGGTAATTGTATAGGAGTCCAACAGTAATTATCGTTACTACTTGTATTCGTCATAATATTAATGTTAATATTATCACCAATTGAACGAAGATAACAGTGCCAATCGTAATTAAATTTAATTTTCAATAGTTCGTATTTGTCCGTCGACATAATCTTTCACTATATTTTTTCAATAAAAAGAAGAATGTTTGTCTAATTTTACTATCAAAAACGTCTTCCATTCACGGTTTAATGAATCATTAGAAAAAACGATTGTTTTGTTTTTTAGTTATTTATATTCTTGCGTCAATGCATACATCATTATCACTTCATAGTTACACAAAACCAGATAAACGAGTACATTATGTAGGTGTCTCATACATGTATTTCTTTCTCTATTCTCATACGTCTTAGTCGCTTTGTTTTTGGAACTAGTTTTTGTTTATATACGTCATCAAGTACATTTTTGATTATTCAACATATTGCCTTCTTTGACTTTAATCACGTGATCAAAAAATAAGTGAGCGATCGAAAGAATGTTTTAAAATACACTCATACAAAGAGACACTATAAATAGAATATACTGTATTCTTCCTTGTCTAAATTTAACGTTTCGGCTGATAGAATTTACTGATCAGTATTCAAAATCTTCTTTCAAACTTAAGTTAAAGTTTCATCTTCTTACATAATAAAGGATTAGAACAGAAAAAGACGTGCTTCATATATCACATAAATGATCCAATGATGCAAAAAGAGGATGATAGTATTATACATTTGTTTAACAATTCAACAAAATAAATCTCGTCATAGAGAAATTGATTATTGCATAAATAATAAGTGTGGTATCAGTTCACATTTAAAAAAATTATATTCATATCAGATAAAATACGTTTAAAAAATGATAAAGACTTGATTATTTATTTACAATGTATCGACGTATATAATATGAAATTAAGATATCAGATCGATATATTAGATTATGAATTTTTAAACATAATATTATCTGTTACTTTTATTAGTTAAATTCACTGCATCTAATACAACTAAGAGTAACGGAAAAGTTTTTTTTTTTTGTTGATAATATAATTTATTTTGAATTTCAATTATTTGTACCTGGCAACTTATAAAATTATAACTTAAATTAAACTGTTTTATTTCTTAACATCAATTAGGGTCTACAAAAAGTAGTGGCACAAACATTATAACATCTATGCCAAATTTGAAAGTGAAATTTGATTTAACTTGAACACACACATATATCTCTCTTAATGTCACTGTCACGGAAACATTTAAACTTGAAACCAATACTGTTGATTATAATCATTATAAAATCCAAATGTTTGAAATTATAAAACATGTCTTTCGTTTAGATAAATAAAATTATCTCTCTTATTGGATAATATTCTTGTTACTTGAGAGCACTACTTTCTTCTTCAAATAATTGATCAACATTTAACTTGAAGAATGCTTGTCGTTTTTCTATTTTTCTAGAAAAAATACTGATTTTCAAACTAATGAAAATAATCGATAGGACATAAAGTTCCTAATACCTGATGCAATTACCATTTTTTTAAAATTATAAAGCAAACATACGATTCGAGAATATGAGATCAATTCTTTACTTGAATGAATATTCTTCTAAGAATTTCGTTATTGATATTAGATTATGTGCTAAAAGCTGAATAAAATAAAAATTACTTCTTTTTGATATCATCTGATTCTGAATTATTTTTGAAAATTACTTTAATACTCCAAAAACCGAACAATATAATCATTATATAATTTTTTTTCCATACATCATGATATTCTTTTCTTATTGATTGATACGTTTTCAAAAATCTTGTTAGTTCCAAGAAATCTTAAAACGAAAAAGCGAGCAAAAAATGCTATAGACCGTAACACTTAGATATCAGACAAGAACGTTTCTTAAAACTGATCTTGGATTTCGAAAATTCTCAAAAAACTGGTACGTATTCGTATGTCGCGTCAGTGGCGACATGTAATTTTAATATGTATTTACGACAACGACAAAGGCATGACTACACCACTAAAGCAACTGTTCTGGTGTCTTAACCGATCGATTTACGTCTCTAATCATGAATGAAAGCATAACCAGTAGAAAAATATAGATCCTATCATTTCTAATTTATTAATTTACAAAATGAAGAATGTGATTTCGATTTTTGTTCATCCTAGTGAAAAAGCAATACTAAACTCAAATTAAATAGATAAGTCTATTTATTAACATAGCTATCATTTATGTAGATAAAGTCTGGCGTTGACAAACAGCATATGTTCTGCACTATTCGTTCTCATGCGTCTGTGTAACATTTTCATCAGAGTTCTTCATTCATCTCTCGAAATAAAATTCAATAAGTGATCTGTTGTCGCGACTGGTAGTTCCTCAATTCTTGCTGCTCATCCACTTTTCACTTTTTCTTTTCATCTCTTGAAACGACGTCTGTGAAAATATGTAATTTCGATCCCTGTTAAGAGAAAGACAGTGAAAGCAAAAAGCTCAAAGTTTTATCTATAAAACATAAGATAAGAAGAATAGATGTATGTTGGCAATAGTTTACCTCTTTCATACGATTCATGAATTATATCTAGTATCCCTAAGAATCTCTCTAGAATAAAAATACTCATGTTTTCTTCAGTCATATTTTCTGGATGCAGGATTGTCATTTATGCAATTCATTCAATTGAATACTATGTACTTTTTTCTAAATTACAATTTTCTTTTGTTGGATTAGATTTTCAAATGAAAGAATTCATTTCTCAACAAAACTTCAAGAATCTGCTCCGACTCATCAATTTAAAAAAAGAAATTTACATTTATATGTAACATATTTGCAGCATTATTCTCTTCTAACGTCATTCTATTGAAATTTGACGTACAGAACTTTACTTTATACCACTTGTCTTTCATCACTATGATTGAAATAAAATTGTGCATTTTGATAGGTAGAGAACTACAGTAATATCTGTTATTAGAAATTTTGTGTATTGTCAATGATAAAAAAATAATTAACGATGAAGGTATGAATAAAGGGATTTCCATTCATAAACGCACCTCACACTCAATCAAAGATACAAATGTGAAAGACTTGTATAAAATTTAGGCGAAAAAGAATCGTATATGTAAGATGCGTGTAATTCAAAGTTTAAGTGAAATTTTTTTTTTTCTTTATATATATTCTGATAGCTCTTTTCAACCTGATCACGAATATGTGTCTTTTAATTTTTTTGGAATGACTTTTACCAGAAAAATTTTCAGTTTTCTTAGGTACTCTATTTTTCTGCAAAAAGACTCAATTTTTGAAAACCGTCAAAAATTTAAATTTTATCATCTATTTTAAATTCTAAAACTATGTATTTCTGATTTGGCTTGAAAAACTGAGTCTAGAAAGATTGTTTCGAAACAATCTTTCTAGACTCAGTTTTTCAAGCCAAATCAGAAATAAATAGTTTTAGAATTTAAAATAGATGATAAAATTTAAATTTTTGACGGTTTTCAAAAATTGAGTCTTTTTGCAGAAAAATAGAGTACCTAAGAAAACTGAAAATTTTTCTGGTAAAAGTCATTCCAAAAAAATTAAAAGACACATATTCGTGATCAGGTTGAAAAGAGCTATCAGAATATATATAAAGAAAAAAAAAAAAAATTTCACTTAAACTTTGAATTACGCGCACCTTACTGACGTTAATGATTCTACCTTCTCGTTGCATTTATCGCTTTGCACTTATTTCAGTTCTCTGTGTAGGACAAAAAATTTCATAACCATGATAAAGGTTGACGACACATTGTCAATAAACACATCGTCATATAAGAAAAATAAATTTCAACAGGCATTTGCTGTCACCAAACATACTATTCGAAAGGAAGTAGCATTAATGTGTGATAAAATTACTTTGTCTCTTTTGGCATTACCTATTGAAATTATCTATCGTATTCTGGACAATCTCGATGCCATAACAATTTTATGTTCAGTTCGTAATGTTTGTACACGATTGAATTCGATCACTGATACATATCGTCGGTATCAGGTAAATTTCAATTTTATCATAGAGTTCGATTTTCGATTACCATTGATAGACAACTTAGTTCAACAAATGAGTATTTTAGATTTTTTACATGTTGACCTTTAGAATAATAATAGTTCGAAGCAAAGTTAGAAACAGTAAGATTTTTTCGTCACCGGCGTTGCTAACGATCAAAACCAAATTGTTTGCACCGAATCAGACGGTACAGCATGAATCATTATGCGTGGGCGACACATGCAATAAATAGTATACGAGCTACAAATAACTCTATGATAAATTACAATAATAAGTAATTAGTATATGCTATGCATGTATGTATATTTAACCTTCTGCTTCAATCCTTATACAATAACATTCATTTTTTTACATCAAAGTTCTTTGCATTACTGGTCATAAAAAAGGACAACAAATTTTTCGCTTTTAATGTAATCAAATGAGAAAAAACTCATCACTGCCATAATAAAAAGTATTATCAAGAGTAAAAAAACAATAAACGATTCCACAATGTTTTCAACAAGGATAGAAATATTAACAAAATGCCGGTTATTTCAATTACTAAGAAACAAACCAAAAATTGAAAGTAAATAGAGAACTATTAAAATTGTTGTATTGCAAATGATTGTTGTAACCTTTTGCACTACATAACATGTTGCTACAAATAATTATATATTAAAATATTTCAATATTGCCTTTCTCTTAGGACATGGGAGCAAAACGTTTTACTTTACTTTCCTCTGTGGAAGCGAAAATAACGTGAAAGTATCATTCCTATTGTGAATCTCTAATTTTCAAACAGACATTCACCACAATCGACTTTCGCTGGGATCGATTTCGAGAGCAAGAGGTACAGTATCTTGCCAATGCTCTCGTAAGCAACACGGTAATACACCAATTGCTACTCATGTTTTTCTTGGCAATCTTCATTTTTCTCACAGACAATCAAAACACTCAGCCTGTTTAATAATCGAATCGGAGATCAAGGCTTCAAGTATCTTGCTAATATGCTCACATACAACAGAGTAATAGACCATTTACTACTCATCTTCGTCTTTTCAATTTCCACTTTTTACATAGACACTCACAACGTTCGATCTTAGCGACAATTCAATTGGAGACCAAGCAGTACA